CAATATTTTTGATGTTTGGCCTGACACGGGGCGTGTCCTGTGACACAGCCACCCGTGTCAAGACCCTGTAATAAATCATGTGCAGTTCCTTTTTGTCCCAACTAAGCTAACACGGGACATTTCATGTGGCACGGGTCCCCGTGTCAGTACCCTGTCCTGCCAATTTGTCATATTCTCAGTTCCAGTAGATCTGACACGGGTCGTGTCCTGTGACACGGCCACCCGTGTCAGGACCCTGTAATAAATCATGTGCACTTCCTTTTTGTCCCAGCTAAGCTAACATGGGCTATTTCCTATGGCACGGGTCCCCGTGTCAGCACCCTGCCCTGCCAATTTGTCATATTCTCAGTTCTGGTAGATCTGACACGGGTCGTGTCATGTGACACGGGCACCCGTGTCAGCATCATGTCCTGCATTTTTTGTTAGATTTTCAAACAGATGAGCTGACAGAGGCCATGTCTTGTGACACGGGCACCCGTGTTAGCCCCTTGTCTTGGCTTTTTGCTGAGTTTTCTTCTTTTGCTATGTATTTTTTATATATCTTTTGAACACAAAAGCAAGTGATGTATGGATAAAGATATTACAGTTTGGAAAGAAGTATACCTCTTGGAGAGAAAACTTTGAAACACATACAGATGTCTCCGGGCACGAAGTGACAATTGATCGAGCTCCTTCTTGAAGTTGCTCCAATCCTTGCTCTGTGCCGCAAAGTTCCATAATCGCTTTCACTCAGTCAAGTTGAAAAATACTATTTTTTGTTTGTGTTTGGAAGGTGATGATAATTGTGTTATAGAAATTATTCTTGTGTTTGAACAATCTCTATGTGATGTATATGAGATGTTTGGATAGTTGGTTTAGGGGAAAGCTTGCAAGGTTGTACAATGGGTTGAGGGTTTTTTTCTTTTGTTTTGTGAATGAAAATAGAGTTGAAGATGAGCAGAGTTTTTATTGTGAATGAGCAGAGATTACAAAGAGTTCTATTTTTTCTCTTCCGTCTTTTTCTCTCCAAAATCCCCCTTTGTGTGTTGTGAAACAACTTATTTGTAGATGAATTTGACTGCCATTTTGGAGGGAAATAGATAAGTTTTTTTGAACTGTTTGGGTATACTGTTTTATTGCTTTTTATATGCAACTCTTATGTGCTAATTTTGTGCAAATATGGACTAATATAGTGTAGGTTTGGATAGGGTTAGAGGCAGCATAACAGGACTATTTTGTAGCAGTTTTAGAGTGGAGTGGCAGCTTGGTGCAGGGATGGCTTTGTACAGGACAACAAACTTTTTAACATGGTTTTGGGCTAGTAGCAACAGGCTTGGACTTGGCAGCATATCTGATTTTGGGGCTTTTCTGGACAGCAACATTTGTAGCATGATACAAGTATGATTTTGTTGACAGATTTATGCAGCTTGTAACAAAGACAAGGCATATTTATGGACAACATAGTGGCAAAGTTTGAAGATTAAGTCAAAGGTAAAAGTTCAAACAAGATAAAGATAAAGTCATAGTGACCGATTTATTAATACTTCTTCATTAACGGAAGAAGGGGGCAAATCTTAGCTCATACATATCACACTCTACATACTTTTACTCTAAAGCATTACATATAAATAGAGTCTTTCACCTCACGTGAGCATGTATTCTAAACCACCATAAACATCACCATACAAGGCTTTCCGCTGCCGTGGAAAAACCCTAACCACCATAAGTCATAATATGCATACTAAGGTCTCTGAGTGTCCTTACCTTTGCATGAACAACATGCATACATGTAGTTTTTGACCAGTACATATTCAATTAAAGAGTTTAATTAAATATAAATTATGTTTATTTTGAAGAAAAAAAATCATAAGAGTATTAGAATTTTAGTGGGTTATCCTATAAATATGAAAAGAGCTCACTTTCCTACTAATTCTAATTGTCATTTTTTATAAAATTGCTAACATTAAGTTTCATTTTTTACATTAAAGTTAAAACAAGAATTTTAAAAAAAAAAAACTGTTAAAATCTCAAATTGATTCAACAATTAAAATCTCAACATAGAGTAATGCATTAATAATTAAAAAAACATGTCATAATATTATAAATATAGTTCTCAAAGTCGGGAAAATACTGGTAAAACATCCGAAAATACATAAAAAGGCATAACCTACGACATATGTCTGATATTAACCCCTCAGATACTCCTCTGCTATCAGTAACCCTAAGCATTATGTGCCTTAGTAAGAATGGAATGTGATAGTGCAACCGCATCATCGTCACCTCTCTCAAAAAGTCCATACTTTATGCCCTCTCTCGTAATCCGTATAATATTCTAACAGATAGGAAACATATCAATGGCATGGTCATCCATGACTTGCTCATTCTCCTACATCTCCTCATGAGCAAGCCTAGGTGGACGTCTAGGAGCGTCTGATGTCATGATAGGGTGTGACACAAAATAGAACCAAGTCATATAACCATCCACATAATACCATTGACGAGTGGTTGGTATACTTCGATATTCCTCTGGTACCAGATGACTCTCATAATCCACTATATGTCATCAAGATCTCTATGGACGATGTTGATAGAAGCATCCACTAAAGGGATCTCAAAATGATCTTCACAAATCTAAACTGACGCATGCGCCACTCTGGGAGATACATGTACATCAAATTACTCCCACATGCCAGGAATCCAGAGTAATATGAAATAAGGTCGGAAGGAATAGTGTCTCGGTGAGTGGTGTATGGTGTTCAGTCGATGTCATCATGTTGAGTCCTGTCAATATACACATGGAATGGCTGCACAACATCATTTCCTCTACACTGGCGAAACAGGCAAGCATATGGTTAATTATAACACCCTCTAAACCACTGCACAATTATTAAGCATAATCAGAGTAAATTAGCATGCATATCAAATAAGACGTCACATGTACTTTAAAACAATAACACAAATACACCAGTCATGCTCATAACACCCATTTAAAATCATGTTCTATACACTAACACATATGCATCTTGCAGCGAAATAATTCTCTTTCATAAATATACCAATAACTGAAATTCTATAATGACAATTATATAATAAAACATTAGGCTCTAAAGGCCACTTATCACATAATCTCAATACAACATAAAATAAAAGAGATTATATCAAACATCTCTTAAAAATAACATGAGTCAAAAGTTCTCCATGTTACATGACCAGAGCATGACTCACTATCTAATAAGCGGATAAAACAAGAACTAGATTCTTCGACTAATCCTCGCATGAAGCACCACTATCTTCGATACATGAGCGATATCGTATAAAACATCATTCCAACATAAGGGTGAGAATTTACATCATTATAGAAATATATAATAATAAGTAATACATAACATACATACATCAATTGAATTCATCATGATTCACATAATCATGTATTTAACATATTCCAACACAATTCACATATTCACATATACAACATTGCTCAACAATTTATGATTCAAAGATAATCATTCATAAATACCATAAAAGTAACATTCACACCAATATCATATATTGCACACCAATTCAATATTTCACATCGACACATGTGACTCAAATGCAACTCAATGCAATATATATGTGGTACCAATTGTTATCCTTAACGGTTTTTACGTTTAAATTGTATCCATCCCTCAACCAAATAACCACCAAAAAGCCATCCCCCAAGCTTTCAAACCAATCCCCTAGGTTTGAGACAAATCACTAGCTATTGCAAAAACTAGCAAATATTGCCTCTTGACAACAAATGATGCATGTGAAATCTCAACAATCATATACAATTAATACCACCCCTCAATCTTAATTATACAAGCAACACATCACATAATTCATGACATTTAAATTATTTTCACCATTGCACAAACATACATATCTCACGTTATCAATCGCATACAATGTATTCTCATAGCATTCATCACTTCAACACATCATAATAACACATAGCAAACAAATTCAAACCATGTTATTCTCAGTCATCAACAATTCACAACATACATATACACAAAATTCAAGTGTTATGTTTTCATCAAAAAGTCATCCAAAACTTATCCAATACATATTGAATAAATTGTTAAAATTCATGGAAATCCCTTATAAATCATAAGCATATAATATCCCTAATCAATTAAAGAAAATATAAAATTTTGCATTACAGTTTGCGCTAACCGAGCTCTTTGGCGCTAAGTGCCATCAAGTCAGTAGCTTTCACGCTAAGCACAGAAATCTGCGTTAAGCGCGCATTACAATTTCTGTAAAAAAAATCTGCGAACTCAACAACACACCAGTCCAAGTTTTGACTTTAAAAACTCATTCAAACTCATATTTTTCATCAATTAAACACATTACAACCTATATCTAACATATAGCCTCCATCATAAACATCAAAACATGTTTCAAACATCAATTTCATGAATTTCAACTCAAAACCCTAACATGTTAAAATCTAGAAATTGAAGAACAAAATCCCTAAATCATGGATCTATTACATACTTTTATATAATTCCATAATAAGCAAATTACCCACCTTTACCTTGGATGTAGATCCTTTCTAAGATTCTATCTTCTTCTATTCTTTTTTCTCTCTTTTCTCCTATTTTTCTCTTTCCATAATAACAAATATCAGTCGCATTGAATTTGGTTAAAACAGAAAAATAACAACTGTTAACAAATATACCTCTCCGGCCCAGATATGTGGAGCAATGTGGTCTCCATAATGTATCAATAATGAGGTTTCAATGGATCCTCCTGGATAAGGGTCTGCAAGTGGAAAGAGGTTATCACGTGCAGCAAGGGCTTTCTCTTGGTGTACGTGAGCCTATGATTAGGATCCCTATGATAGGCGACTCCTAGAAGAGGATGCTTCCCTATCATGAGGCTTAGGTGAGACGGTTTCCCGCATAGCTCTAACATGCTCATGTTGAAGAGCCCTATCGTGACGAGCATATGCAGTTAGAGTTTCATGACCAAGTGTCATTCTGTAGTTGTTTTCAACCATTCCCCTTGAAAAAAATCGAACAAAGACATTAATTTGAAAACTAGAAAGGACCAAATTCTATAAATTATGTAAAGGATCAAATTTGGAGATGCATCTCCAAAAATTAGGAAAGACCAGTTTCGAAGATGCATCTCCGAAAAAACTTTGTCTTCTGCTTCAATGGCAGAACCGGTTCTTATTCTTACCCTAACAATCCAAAATTGCATCAAAATTATAATGCATGTTTGTAAGATTGCCTATTTCGAATTCTAATATTACTTAATGCATTGAAAATAAACTATTTTATCTAATACATTAATACAAAATCAAAATAAGTTAAATGAAAAACTTACACAAATGTTGATAAAGATGAATAATGTTCAATGTAGATTGTGGAGTGAGTTGAGATTGCTAAGATTGAAGTAGGGGTTCTCTTATTATTTCAAAAATTGGCTAGAACAAGATTGTTCACGAGCTCCAATGTGGGAAAAAGTTTTTCCAGAAAATGAAGAAGACAGAGAGGGAGGATCTGGCACGGGATATATATATATATATATATATATATATATATATATATATATATATATATATATATATATATATATATATATATATATATATATATATATATATATATATATATATATATATATATATATAAAACTTTCGGAGATGTATCTCCGAAAATTTCCCTTATGTTTGAAAATAATGGTTAATTCGAATATGTATCTGCGAACAAACCCTTAATCACATTCGGAGATACATCTCCGAATTAAAGTTTGACAAAGTTAGAGGTGCTCAACAATCAACGCTTATTTTGTGTAAAAATGGCGCATCCGGATACGAATTTCCAAATTTATGGAGTATTTTTTCCTTTTCGCCAAAGCTTGAAAGAACATGCAATGGTGGAAAAAGAAATTACCAAAAAAATAAAAACATTTTGACTTTACTCAAAAAATATGGCCATAAACTCCACTACCCGAATCCAAAATATAATTGACTTAATTGGTTGGGCAAAATAAAAACTCTTTTAATAGATGATGAGAGTTAATGAAAACAAATTTCTATGGCTATAAGTGATTGGTAATTACATAACAAGAGCATCCAAGCTTATTATTCCCTTTTCCTATTGAACCCTGAAAGATTTATCAGTAAACAAAATTTACAACCTTAAAACTGATATATATAAAAACATAAAGAAACGGAGAAGACTTTAAAGGAAAAGAGTAAATGTGGTAGCAGTAGCTTGCTATAGGTACCACGAATATCACCCTTTTAGAATCCTTTCTTTACTTTATTGGGTTGTTCCCATGTTTCTTCGCATTCTATTTCATCTTCCACACATTCATCCCTCACCATATAGTGTTGTTGATAGTATCTGAATGCCACAAATAACATGAACACTGCAATTTACCATCTGTTAGTACGTACATACATCTATTCATTCACCTATGCTAGCTAATCGAATCAAACAAAAATGATTTACCTGCCCAAATGCGAGCAACAACAGATGACAGATTCCATACAAGACCGAAGATGCCAAGAGCCACAGCTTTCTTGTGAGTGCATGAATCCCATGCATCCCGAAATCGACGAATCCAAAAATTTCCTTCATCATATCATACCAACCAAATTAAAACTAATAGAATCACTTTACATACTTTCAACTCATTAATTAACAGATTTATGTACACACAAGACAAAACTTGGGTCTTCAGACTTTTAAGAACCGCCTTAAGTTAGTTCAATCGTTACAAAATAAATAACGAGTCATATTTAATTACAGTTTAACAGTGACAAATATTTTATTTCTATTCAGACACGATTTAATTGTGAATCTTTTTATGTTATATATATGATAGTCTGTTTTGCAGGTCTTCAAAAACGACTTATATTATTAGAATTGCAAAGAAAACCAATGGAAAAAAAAGAAAGAAAAACATAAGAAAATGAGTTTCATTGACTTTTGGGATTGGGACCACACAATTCAACAATTGTGTTTTCTTCACTCTTTGACCAAGAAAAATGAGATCCAAGTTGGGCTTGTCAGAAAAAAAGAAAACCAAAGATGCTAATCCATGTGATGCATTAATTATGTTTCATAAAGGCAAAAATAAAATCTTAATTGGAAAAGGTATAATTGGAGCTTTTTGTAAAACATAAACAAACTATAACAAGTTAATTACAGTAGTATATTTTTGAGAATAAGTATGAGTAAAAACCATTCAACATTGTTTATAGATTCACAGATCTACATTATTATGATGCATTGGGTTCAGAGACACGATAACATAAAATAAAAACATGAGTATAAGTAGTTGTCTGTTTCTAAACACTTATTAACAATGCATTCAAGATCAGGTTTTGTGGGCCAGTGAAAGCAGTGCATCGTTTAAATCTACTATACTGTGAGTTTGTAGTAAAAAAAATCAGACATTGAATAATGGTAGAAAAAGCAACATTAAAATTACCGTATGCAGTTAACTGTGCTGAATACGAAGAACAGATCTTTGGTACGATAAATACTCCAAAGAACCCTGAAATTTGTCAGTAAATCAATCAAGTCACAACAATTTCAGTAACAGAATAACCAAACAAAGAATTGAATTCAAGTACACAATTATGAGAGTGTGAAGCATAAAAATATGGACTTTATGAGTTGAATTAGAGTTGTAACTTACCGAATTTGGCCATTTTCCAAATAGTTATGAAAGTGCCACATCTAGCCAAAACAAACAGCAAAATTGCCAACTGCACACCAGTGCCAACAACATAAGCATTATAATGTTTGTGAATAAAATGTTGAAATGCTAAGAATAAAAAACTACCTTCATTGTTGTACCAGGATCTCCAGAGAAAAGTGCTTTGAGTTTGGACAAGAATTCATTCAGATAAGGTAGGACCAACTTCAGCATCCAAATTGCATCTTTTTCCCCTACTACATAATTTGAGTCTTGTACATCTATCACACCCCTTTTACCAAAAGAGAATCAGTAAATACATAGATGCGTTTTTAGATTGACATATCAAACCTAAACATGAACTAAGTATCAACTTCATAAAAGTTGATTACCTGCAAATTAAGGATCTATACAGGAAGATAACTGCGAGATAGACAAGACCTACATAGGACATTGCAGAAATAACACTGCAAAAACAGAAAAACTTGAGTTCTGAACCGGTAAGATGTTTTATTATTATTTAGTTTGGATTTCTAACCTCAAATTAAGATCCTTTGCATAAGAAGATGAGACTATAACAAATGTTCCAACCCCAAACACAAAAGCTGATCTTGAAACATCTTTCCACATTATCAAATCCACTGAGTCATAAACAAGAATTCTTAATGCTATATGTATATAATTTGAATAGAATGAAATTTTTGTGAAAGTAAGTAAGTCACCTAGACTCTGCAATTTGCTTTGGGTTTGTGGAATGCTACTGTGTTCTTTTTCCTTTTGAACTGAACCTTAAAGATCATTAACACAAACCATTTAATTAATCTTAAATTTTTTTAACAACATTGAAAGAATGAAACGGAATAATTCTTACTCGAATTTTGATAAATTGTTGAATTCCTTCTAATTGTAGAGGATTGCTTGACTAGAAGAGGTGCAGAAACTGGTCTTGTAACTCTTGTTTCATTTTTGTGATGAAATCGCATGTTCGCATTGACAACCTTTTTTGTTTCTGGTTTTGGTTTTGGTTCTGGCTCTGCTTCATTCACAACAACCTTATCCTTTTCTGGTTCTACTTGGTTCACAACAACCTTATCTTTTTCTGTTTCTGATTCTGGTTCTACTTGATTCACAACAACCTTATCCTTTTCTGGAATACTAATTTCCTTGACATCAAAGCACTCTGTCTCAATCTCAATCTCAAGAGAATTTTCAGGTGACATCTCTTTCTCTTGTTGTTTCTCAGCTTCAATCTTATCACACTCATCACCATTATCACCCAATTCATCAGCCTCATATTCTTGAACTTGATCCAATTCGGATTTGGACTTGCTCAATTGAATTGAATCAGTAGAAGTTGAATTCTTGTTGATCGGATCTGATTTAATCTTCTTCAATTGCCCTGCTTCAGCAACCTTTTGTGTATCAGATCTTAGCTTCCTTGATTGAATTGGGCTCCTCTGTTGTTCCTCTGAATTCTTGTGAACTGGAGTCCAAGTTTTTCTGGGCACAATTGAGGTTCTTTTAAATCTAGAATTACAAGTAACAGCATTTTGTTCTTCTTGTTTGAAGACTTTGATTCCACCTTTAACTTGATCATTCTTCATTCTGGTTTCCCACACTGAGCCTGGAGCAACCACTGCACTTCTTTTATTGCTATTGAATTCCATGATCTATTTATTATACAAGTCACAAATGGGATATGAGTGGATAAGAGGCTTGAAGGTGAAGCAATGGCGGTTGGTGGGGGTGCAACATTGGGATCCCTTTCTAAAGCAATTATACTAGTTGTTGTAGCTGCTAATCACTTTTCTTCTTTTATTTCTTCTTTCTTGTATTATTTTACTTTTCTTTTTCTTTTTCTCTCACTTACTTGTTGCGGTATAATCATTAGCGTCGGTGTCTAGATTTCACAAACCCATTCATTATATCTTTAAGATTTATTTATTTGTACGCTCTTATACGACTGAAAAATGTCTTAAAAAATATCAAATTATATATTCCAATGAACTCTTAAATCAATTTTTAGGGGTTTTTGGATATGCATATTTGAAAATCTCATATTTTGAGTTTGTTCGAATGTGCATTTCCGAAATTCTGGATATAATGTTATTTTTTTATTTAAAATATTGATGTGGTATTTAATAAATGTCAGATATTTAATACTAAATTCATTTAAATAATATTGAAATACCAAAGATAAAAAATTGTACGAATATAAATTGTTCATAAATACAGAAAATTAGTACATAAATTATTTAGAAAATACAGAATGGAAAATAAATACATTGGTAAATAAAAAGAAAGGCGCAGTCTACTGCGTATGCCTAATCCTAACCCCCTGACCCTTATATGTCCCATGTAACCCGCTGCAAGAGATGCCTCCTTAACCATCCTTTTTACGATGGTCACCGTCTCAGGACCACCCCTCTCAATGATCTGTAAGTCTAAAGCCTCCTGTCCAATCAACTGTATCTGCTGACAGATCGACAAGACATCAACGATATGATCATCCTAGGTCTGGTGATTCTCCAAGATCACCTCATGAGCTGATCTAGGTAGACGTACAGGAGCATCTGGTGTTATAATGGGGTGTGACAATGTGTAGAACCACGTGATGTATCTCTCTACACAATGCCAATTGATGGATGCCTGCATCATCTAAGCCTCTTCTGGCACCATATGGTTCTCCCAATCCTAGAAGACGCCATCGAGCTTCCGGCGGACAATAATGTCGGGAGCAGCCTAAAAGGGAGATTTGGGTATGATTTTCACATAATCAAACTGTCGGATGCATCACTCTAGAAGATATTTGACCATAGTATTGGTCTCACATGCAAGCCAGCCTGAGTATAATATGATAGAGTCGAATGGGACAATCTCCCTATAGTCTTTAAAAGGCGTCCAAATAATATCATCATGAATAGTCTGATCAACATACACCCAGAACAATGACACATAATGATTCCCTCTGTGGGGGATTCACCTGGCAGTCCTCGGCATGTGCTCAGTATAATCCGGATCATAATCGAAACCATGAATGCAGTGGAAGTGAGAAATGATCCATCCCTGAAAATGAATAAGAGATATGTAAGAAAAAAATATTAATAGCAAATTAAACATAATAGTTGAAATGAAAGGTACCGTGAACAGTGTGCAAGAGCCTGTCAGCTGCCTCGTCCTCCATTTAGAAGTTTCATTCAACTTTTGGTATAGGTATACAAAACAACCGGCCCCCCAATTCGACTCTCCAACTCTATTAAAATCCATGAAGTATTGGAGATATGCCACATCCATGTATGTTGCACTTTTGTCCATAAAAACGGATGTGCCAACCAAGAACAAAAAGTAACACCGCAAAGCACACTTACGATAGAACTGAACAAAGAACTCATTACCCTCACTCTCAGATATTACGTCCGCATCCAGGTGCTTGCCATATAGGTCGGCCAGGAATGAGAATTTGGCATGAGTCCCATTAGTTGAGTCAGACTGCTCAAATGTCTTTTCTGGATGAGCTCCCAGATACTCGACCATCCATTCAATTGCTTCACCACGAGTAATCTGGGAGTGGTTAAGTAACCTCCCTCTGATAGAAAGGTGCAACAAACATGCAACTACGTCAAGTGTGATCGTCATCTCCCCAACATGAAAATAGAAAGATGAGGTCTCCTTGTTCCATCTCTCAACAAATACCCCTTGTATGCCATGGCTAATAGTATTGTAACCGTAACAACAAAGTATGGCAAGTCCAGAGGCAAGAACGGCCTGTCTGAACCAATCCATATTGGGATGATGTAGCTCAAATATTTTCTGCACGTGGTTCACGAACTTTATGGGCAGACGTTCCTGTTAAAAAATACTAAAGTCGTTGTGAGTCGTTAAGATATTTGTGCGTAAATCATTTAAATAAATGAAAAGTGTAATAAAATATATACCTCTCAATTCCAAACATGTGGAGGGACATGATCAGTATAATAGATTAATAGGGAGGTGTTGTAACACCCCAAACTACCAGGCGAATAATAAAAAATTATCAGAGTAATTTTAAATCAAATTAACAATGTTTAGGATGCTACACTTTCACAAACATGCAAAAACCTGCTCATATTAAATATAAGGTACATAACACAAATTTTTGGATGAACCAAAACAAAGTTACAAAGTTACATAGTTTCAACTTCAACTTTTATTAATGTAGCGGAAAAGAATCATAACTGAAATTAAAGTAACATTTATTCAAACATAGGGAGTAACTAAGATTCCCAACAATTACTAAAACAATAAAATAAATAAGCGTTCATTCCTAGAGTTTTACGTATCAGAGCAATGACACCGACTCGAAAATAAATGAAGAGCAACCTCTTTTTATCCTTGCAGCCCCAGACTACTCTTGACTATATGCACGATGTTGTATAAAACATCATTCCAACAGAAGGGTGGTATATCACAACAATATAAGAGAATGTATAATAGTAAGTATACATAGAATATAATCATGCATAGTCATACATTCCACATCTCACACACTCACACCAATAACAACAACAATATCACATTTTGGTCAAACAATCACACATAATCATCCATACATATCAATCACCATCATGTAGTACATACACCAATCACACAACTCAAACATCATATTAACAACAATACAATGCAATGAGACTGACTCGCAGACTCAATGTATGTGGTACCATATCGCTCTGAATCCACGCTATCTAGGATCAAAGCCACCAATATCATGAACAATTTAGTTCACATCACTCTCGATCCATGCCATCTAGGATCAAAGCCACCACAAATCATGAACGATGAGGTTCACATTGCTTCTGATCCACGCCATCTAGGATCAGAACCAACAAACAAGACTAAAGTCCACAACCTAAAATGCATGCGACTCAAACATGCAACAAGACACATCACATTGATATCTACATCCATAAATGAGACACACCAATACATCCACCATTTGCACACACACACGACATACCAATTATACAGTCCAAACAACATCATACAACATTATCGTACATAAGTACACGCATATATCTCAGCATAACAAACAAAATTACCCACAGAAACGCACAAATCCCTGACAAATATTCACTCATTGTATTTAGAAACATTTTTATTTGATAGAAAATATTTTTAGCTTCCCGTAGATTCAAACGGTGTGTCAAATGGACATCCGAGTCACAAGTTACAAAATTATGAAGTTTCAAAAATAATTTTGCCCAACCTACTTCGCCTGAGGCTCACCCGACGACTGGGTTTGTTGCTTGAGGCTCGCCCGATGAAGAACAAGCGAGGCCTCCTTACCATATCCTTTCCAGTAACACCTCTTTTCCACCATTTCCTTGCCCCTTGTCTCGCCCGGCGATGCCCTGGCGAAAGTGCTTCGCCCGACGACGCTTGTCTCGCCCGATGATGCGAGCGAAACAACAACTTCCTATTGCAATTTTAGCATCAGACCAGTCTCAATTCTAATACGATTTCAACACAGTACAGTCCCAAAACTCACCAAATTCCACATATTTTCACAATACAACAACAACACATCATGATAGACATTATACACATCAAATCATGGAAAAACAACATCATATATTTCATCAATTTTCATCACATGGGTTCAATTCACACCAAAGTAAATTCATAACAAGAATACCCAACAACTATGGAAATTACAATCCATAATATACCCATCATTAAATAGAACCCTTAGAAAGTTGGAACCTCACCCTTACCTTGAGTTAACAGTTCCTAAGCTTCAACAATGGTTCTTCTTTTGCCCTAGCTCTTTCTCACCTCTTTGCTTTCTCTTCTCTCCAAAATTCGATCGTACAAAATTATCGTTCTCCACCTTACTTCTTCCTTATTACTAGACTAACCCTTATATCCCTAATATGGTCTTACTTCATTGCCCCCACTAAACCTCATTCAAATTACTACCTTGCCCTCCATATTAGTACACCTTTTATATCATCTTAAACATTAATATAATATTTTAACAATTATTCTTCAATCTAAATAATTCCAACTAAATTATTTAAGTAAAAAAATAATTCTCATTATTATATTAATCCAACTATACCCCATACATATTAACAAACCATATATTGCACCAAATAAAGCATAACAAAGTGCTCACCGACGCACAAAATACACAACATCAAATAATTAATCTATTAAAATAATTCAATAAATAATCGGGGTGTTACAACTCTCTCCCACTTAAAAAAATTTCGTCCTTAAAAATTACCTGATGCAAACAAAATCGAGTAAGACTCTCGTATCTTACTCTCTAATTTCCACGTCGTATTCTCTCAAGAAGCTCCTCCCAAAACTAGTTTCACTAGAGAAATTTCCTTGCCCCTCAGCTTTTTCATTTCACAATCTTAAATCCTCACAAGTACTATCTCAACAGTAAGATTATCCCGCACTTGAACATCATCCATCGGAATCACATGAGATGGATCTGAAATATACTTTCGGAGTTATGACACATGGAACACATCATGCAAATTAGACAGGTTGGGTCGCAAGGCCACTCTATACACAATAGTCCCCACCTTGTCAGTAATTTGATACAGACCAATAAACTTAGGAGTAAGCTTTCTCGATCTCAAAGCGCGTCCAACACCGGTCACCGGAGTAACCCTCA